GCACCACTGCTCCAGGGCAGGAGGGTTAGGAAGACTACAAAACACTGCTCCTAACTGCAAACACACCCTTGTAAGGTTATCTCAAGGCTTCCAGAAGAGGATGGAGATGTGCTGGGGTGGCAGGTGGGGCAGAGGCTGTTGCAGGTACCAGCTGGGGCAGCACTCACCACGTGCAAGGAAGCTCCACCAGCATCAATCATTTCCCAACCCGAGCTCTGCCTCCCTTCACCTTCCTTGTACTGCCCTGTGCCTTCCCACAAAACTCTGCTGCTTCTGAGGCACAGAAAGGCACAGAACAGAGGACAGATGTGTCCTCCCAGCTCTGTCACCTGGACAAATGTGCAGTTGTCTTTGCTGACAAATAACACGTGGAGCAACAGGGAACCTGCCAGGGGTGGCACAGTCACCACCAGGGCACTCCATCAGCGCCAAGCTGGGGAGAGAAGGAACCACAACCACTGTGGCCCCACTGCAGTGACCTCAAACCTGAGAGACACCCAGAACCCACCTCATTCGTGAAGATGGAAAGCAACTGAAACCAGCAACAATAAAAGTGATTAATCCCAGGCTTACTCTAATGCAGGGCACTGGAGAGCTCGAACCAGAACGGACCAGCTGCGAACAACTCGAGGGTATCGACGCTGAGGTTTGGAGAAATACCTCCAGTGTTTGTCAACACAGCACTTCATGCCATCAGAGCTGTGCTCTCCTTGCACAGAATGAGGAGTAATGGACAGCAGATGAAAGTGTTTGTGGGAAGGAAGCTTATAAAATGGAAACTTATAAAATGGAAGAGCAAAAAGCATTTTTATTAAGAATTCCATTCCTGAAGAGCATCCTGAGCTCAGGGGGTGGGAATGGCTAAATGTAGGGAAGCAGCTCTGCTCACAGTGCACTGTGTGGACAAAACCCTTGACTTCATGAGCAGAGGGGATTTCTCATCAATCATCAAGTGTCAGGGCAGTGGGAGCAAAGGAGCAGAGGTGCCTCTGATCCCTGGCAGCAGAAGAAGGAGCCTCTGACACGAAGGAAAATGCTGAGTCTGCTGGGATGAAGAGCTGCAGCAGCACCACTTTCTGGGCCTTTGGTCAGGAGGGCCAGGTAAAGTCTCAGGAAGAAACATCTTAAACCTCAAGTCCAGCACTGGCAAAGGCACCACAGGGAATTTCCTGACTGTGCCCTGCAGGCAGGACAAGGATTGACTGATTATTGGACTTTAAATCAGCACTGATATCAGAATGGAGTTGCTGCCTTGGTCCCACTCAGAGAGAGTCACTAGGCAGTTCTTTAAGTTGGAAAGAACTTGAAATTCCTAATTACTTTGGCTTTATCCAGAAGTGTAGTGGATTTAATTCTTTCCCAGTGCCAGACCAGGCAATCAGTAATTGCACTAATGGTGTTATCTCCCTCCTTAAAAAATGTCTTATCTAACTAATAGCATTAATTTATATGCATCTGGTGTAATTGGAGCTTTCAGGCCTTTTTATGATCATATATTTGGTTTTGTTTTCCTTTGATTCTTCCTGAATAGTGTCTTTCTTGGTAGGCAAAATCCTATTTTTATCTCTAGGCTTAAACTCTTCCCCTGCTTTTTTTTTTAGCAACAAGAGTAAATTATAATTCTAACCAAAAATGTGAGTGTGACCCAACAGTTGTGCCCCTCCCCTGGGCTCTGCTGGGAGGAGTGAGGCTGCTTGAGGTGTAAAATACTGGGTGCTCCTGATATTCCACTTCAGGCACGTGAACAAGCAGTGTTTTCATACAAGCTCTTCCAAATTTACTTGAATTTTCAGAGTTTCAAGATTTTTTTTAAAAGAAAGGAGCTGTTATGACACCTTGTGCTAAGCTATCTACAAAAATCTATTTCTCTTTCACTTGAGTTTTTCATGGATTATTTTGTCATGCCAATTTGTGACATATTTTGGGTTTAATGATACTTACCATGAACTTGTCACCTTTTATCCAAGGGTTTTCCCTTTGCAGCTATCCAGGCTTTTTGACTGCATTTGCTCAACTGTGAGATTGAAATTCAAATTACTTCTATGCCTCTTGTAACCCCTGGAAGTATTAATTATGTTTCTTAATCATCTTTTTCAGTACTTAGACATTTCAGAGCTTGGGAAATAGATATTTCAATAGGAATGTCTTGTTTGTGTCATACAGCTTCGAGAGAGAGGAAAAGTTTCTTCATAGGAATTTAATTTTTATTGAAGCCACTAAACCCATTAATTTTTGATTGAAAAAGCTACACCTGGCCATTTCAGTTCTGAAATGCAACCTGGCAATTACAGATCACACCCACAGGCCTGGCATTCCATGGAGACATCGTGGAGAACTGACCCTACCTGCTGATCCCTGTAACTTCCCAGTGCCCCCTTCCAGAAGGGAAATAACAGTTTTATTCATTGACTCATCACTCAGGAAGCCGTGGGGATTTGACCCCAGGCACCCTGAGGCTCAGCACATCCTTCCTCTCCCGATACCACAGTTCAAATGTGGTGCCAGAGACAGGGAAGAAAGCAAAATTCCATCTTCTTCTTGAAAAAAACAGGAAAAGTGGGCTTCCCTGTCTCATGCCATGTGTTTCTTGTCTTGCTGGGGAGGGAATTAACTTTTCTGTGCCAGTTTTTCACTATTACGACTGGAAATCCTGGAAAGGCAGCCCTAAAACTGTAGAGAAAGGACTAAGAAAAATGTGAGCTGACTTTTAACAGGCAGGGGTAGTTTCACTCTTTCGTGGGATGCTGATAACGTAGGCTTGGACAGCGTGGATGTGATTTATCTTCATATGAAACCTGGCAGGAATTTCCCAAACACTCTGAGTTTATGATAACCCATCTTTGATTTCGCTTCCTCCCATTGTTCTACAGAAAACATCACCTGATGAGCGCCTGCAAAACGCAGCATTAAAAGCTCTCCAGCCCGACTTTTACTCTGCACAAGTGAAAACAAAGGAGTTTTATGAGTTGCCCTGTGATGGAAATACTCATTTTACATGTGGTCATCAAACAAACGGCAGTGAAGCCCCAACTTTCAGCCATGGAATGTACATTTATTACTGCTCTTTAGGATCAGCAATCACCAAGCTGAAAGATTTTAAGCAAGAGAATAATAAAAGCTGAAGAATGAATTAAATAGGTTTCAAGTAGTTAAAAGAGCACTACTCTATTTAAACCCCTCAGACAACCAAGTATCTGAATTCTCAGCATTTCAGCTGCCACGGGGATGATTATGGTGAGCCAGCAGCTTCAAACTTTGGGGGACAGAGCAGTAGGGTATTCTTAAAAGCCAATTTCCATCTCTGTGGTGGTGGTTGCTACAGACTGCACAAAAAAGTTCTCAAACACCAACCACCAAACCAAAGAGCAGAAATGAATGTGGTTTTTTCAAAAATTCAGCAAAACCTCCCCACGTTTTTGGGTGTAACAAAACTTCTCCACGTTTGCAGAGCTCAAAACTTTGTTTTATTTCTCGTACTTGTGTTCAGCCAAGGATAAAAGTTGGGGTGACAAGAGAAAATAAAGTGTACAAACGACCTGGAAGGCAGGCAGGCATTCCCTCAACTCCCAGTGTGGGGATTGGGACTGGAAGGGCTGCAGAACCAGGGGGTGTCTCTATCTTAGCAAAGGAAGTGGGGTTTGGCAGCAGCTTTTTAACTCTGAGCCCAAAATTGCCTCATTTCTGTTAAAAGGAAAGTTGGAGAAATATTCCTGTTACATTTGCAGTGGCCATCTCTGGAGAAAGGGAACAAAATTGGCTTTACAGTACAGGGATAAAGGAGCTGAGAACAAACAGCAGCTCCAGCACCTGCCTGGGATCAGTAACAGAAATGTGAAGTCCAGTCCCTGAGTCTCAAGCAAAACTCCTCCTGCAGCCACAGGCACTGGATTTGGTAAAAATGGATCATTTTAAAGCCAGGTCTAATAGTGCTTGTTATATTATCTACTGCATTAAATCCCTGACACATATTTAATGGGATTAAATCTGTCTTCTGCTCTCGATTTATACAGCACTGCCAGAGCATAAACTTTATTAAAGCTCCATGTAACAGACATTTGAGCCCTAACTAGGAAATCTCATTTTACAACATCACATCAGTTTCCCAGTCTCCATTTTATCCCTATTCAATCACCACTTCCCATTAATTTATATTTTTATTCACTTCCCTCAGCTCCAGCCACTTCTCAGATGCTCACTGAGGCAGCTCTGCTCTCACATGCCAATCCCAGGCTTTCTCCAGACTGGTACAGGAATCATTCTGTGCCTGGCAAGGAGCTGTATTTCCTCAGTAACTGTTCAAATCAATGAGACTTGACATATTCAGTGCAAAAAGGGACTGTTCTTACAGCACTGTGTTCATAGAACACAGAATTCTCTCTGGGTATGAGTTCACAGGGAAGTTTTTCCTGTAAAAATCAGAAATAAGAAGGGCAACTTATCTCCATTATTTTCTGCTTTACTCAGCAAAACCCGGTATTAATTTATGAAGAGACACATCTCTCCCCTTCTCTTCATTTTGTTCTGCTAAATGAATACATGCACCTATTATGATTCCTGTCTAATTGCAAGCAGGCAAAGCATCTCCTCTCCCTTGGGCCAGGCTGGAACGCAATGTTCTCTCTGCAGGTACAACGTGATCGTGTGGCCTCTTGCAAACAGCTGTTCCCGTCCCTGCCTCTGGCCAAAAAGGAACCAGGGAGTTTGCATTCAGGAGCTGGGTGTAAATATTCAACAGCTGCTCCAGGACTCGGGGGCCAAACTCACAGTTGTGACTACTGGAGCAAACGTGCCTGGGAAAATCGATGTATAATTAATTGATTTGCTCACTCAAACCTTCAGTGCTGATTGGAACAGCCCCCAGTTAGGGAGATTTTTTTTGCCACCAGCTGTGGCTGTAAATGAAATTAGTTTGGCCCATATGAATGTATGTTATTTACAGTCAGGTCAGGTGCTGTGTATTCCTCTCCTGTAAACCATTAACAATCAGAATCCCAGAATGGTTTGGGTTGGAAGGGGCTTTATTTGCCATGGGCAGGGACAGCTTCCCCCAGAGTGCTGCAGGAACTCCCTTGGCACTGTTTTCACTGGTGGACAAAAGGAGCTCCTTTTATCTTCCAGTTCCATCCTTGCCTGTAGGTAAATCCTTTCTGGTGCTCCTGCAGAGGCTGGAACTTCCACCTCACCTGTAGATGTAAAAGCAGAGTAGAAATATCAGTGATGCCCCTGAAATATGGCCATGTAGGAGCCCACTCTATAACTACTCTATAACTGCTATAACTACATATATCAGGAGATGAATGTGACATTCCCATCCTTTTCCCTGCTTCACAGCATCTCTTTTTTTTTTTTAATATTTAATTTAAATGCAGAGCATAAGCTTCAAATGCATCAGGCTTCACAACATTTGTACTAATGCTGCCAAGCCACCCTCTAAAATATTTTATGAACCATGAGAACATTTTAATCTGTTGGCATTTCCTTAATTAAGACAGTTTTACTGCTGCCTGAAACAGAGGTGTTACATTAGCTGAGTATCTCTGTGCCGTGTAAATTATGGCATCTGTCTTCTAAATAGAAGTTTGCATTATGCATCGAGGAATGAACTGGTGTGCATTTAATTTAAATGGATGATCAGAGTTTTTTGAGAATTAATATCTACCTTTCTGGGAGATTTCCATTCTGTTGAATTGGGTGTTGAAAAGCACATTACATGAGCGATGTTGGTGCCTCTGGATTCATAACATTAGCATTTCCCGTCCCAGTGCAGCCCCTGAGAACATCAACTGGAAAAACACAGGTTGTTCAAGATTTACTGCTTTGTTGTAATTCTAAGAAAGGCTGCTTGGGTGAAAATATTTGTTACCTTACTGTGTCCAACTGCACAATACAACAAATTCTGCTGCTGGGATTGTATATGCCAGTGGTGAGTTAGATCAAATTATTCAAGCATTTCATACACAGAAAATTTAGTGACTTTCAGGATCTTAAATATTACATATTCCCACCCTAAAACACTTCCTACTTGCAGCAAGTAGAGCAATTATTCTGCAGAAAGCCAAGGTTTCATGCTTTTAAAAAGAGGTGTCAGAATTAAGAGCTGATTTGCACAGGCCTTGCAATTGCTCTGGACGTGGCAGTTCATCCACACAGCACGTGCTGGGGTGGAGGTCAGGTCAGCTTTTAAACTATTTAGAGCAGAACTGAGGAGTTATACTTTGGTCTCTTAGTTGAAAGTCAGCTTCCAAAGCCTGATAGTTTCTGTATGAACACTGAGAGGAACGTATATTTATGTCTGGAAAGAGCTCCTGCCTGCCAAGATCCCCGACCCTTTTTGGGATCAGCAGCTCCGGGGGCCGAAGTGACACGAGCGCAACGTGGGGTTAAAAACAAGCAGTTTCCTCCCAGAAAAGGTCAGGGCTGCTCTGGGAGGGTTGGAGATTGTCAGATCCCAAAGACAAGCAGGGCAGCAGAAGGGGGAGTCCCTCAGATCCGAGCCTTTAATCAGTGTTAAGGGTGCTCTGAGGTCCCAGCAGCTGGGGCTGTTTAAACTCGGCATCAGCAGCGCTCCGAGTGCTCCCAGGGAGCCCCTTCAGGGTAAGTGATGTGCTGTCCTCCTGATCGTGGAGCAGAGCTGCAAAAAATGGCACATGTGGGTTCTTCACCCAGCTGCTGGGAGGAGAGGCTCTGCCTTCCCTGCTCTCGGGCATCAGGAATGGGAAATGAAGGTGCTGCAGCCAGGGGATTGTCTGTCCAGAGGGAGAGGTTCGTGTCTCAGTGATCTCATAGGATTTCAGATCTGATCTTACCCAGGGAAATCTTGCGAAACTTTCAAGTTTCTGGAGGAAACCTCAATGGACTACGCTGGAATTTCCTTGTGTTTGCCTAATCCTTAGATCTTATCCTTTTTTCTGGTGTGGGGATTTCACCCCTTCCCACTCTAACCCTCAATATTATTGCTGGTGTTCATTGTCTGTCCAGTGCAAATCCTGTATTTCCTGTTTCCTGCAGCATTTTGACTTTCTCAGCTGCAATGCCTGGAAAATGAGCACAGGACTGCACAGAACCCTGGCTTTACTCATGACTGGATGGCCCAAACCCATGACGTGGTTGGACTCTGTGATCCCTGTGGGCCCCTTGCAGCCCCAGGGTCTGCTGTGAGTCTGGGGTTGCTACTAAACTAGAAAAACAAAATGTTGGAGGAATGGGAGAACTGGAAGAGTTAACTGTTCCTTATAATGTTTATATATATATTTTTTTTTAATTCTTAATTTAATTTTCTACTCCAAACTTGGGTTCATTTTGTAAGGTATTTTCCTAAATGCTCCTGATGTAGTTTAATTTCATTGATATCCTCCGTGGAAAACATGTTTGTTTCTCTGACATATTTGCAGCTATGCCTTGAAAAGCTCTGTCAGCTTCCTGTTCCATGATATTATTTTCCTCTCACAGACTTTTCTGCTCAGGCCCATATCACAGAGATACAGGCAGTGAATGGAGTCACTGTGGATGTTTCCTCATCCCAGCACAGTAGGATGTGTGTTGGTGCTTTTCCACCTTTTTAACGCTTCTCTTCCAAATCCTCACCACTTCTCTATGGAATCATCTAGTTCAGTGGCCAACCTGGAAAGGCTCCTGTGTCTCTGCTGGCTCCTAGATCCCAGTTTCACAACTGTGGCTGCACACAGCCAGTTCTATCACACCCAAACCTGCTCCCAGGCCTTTCTCCTCAGCCTCCCCTGCACACAGGAAAGCTCATGGCTCTAGAAATGATGGTATCAGGTTGGATATTCAGAAAAACTCTTCACTGAAAGAGTGATTAAGCATTGGAATGGGAAGCCCAGGGAAGTGGTGAGGTCCCTGTCCCTGGAAGTGCTCAGAAAAGGATGAGATGGGGCACTTGATGGTTTGGTTTAGTGGACGTGGTGCTGTTTGGTCAAAGGTTGGACTCGACAACCTCAAGGTGTGCCAGGGCCAGGGGAGGTTCAGGTTGGACATCAAGAAGAATTTCTTGCTGGAAAGGGTGGTCAGGCATTGGCAGGGGCTGCCCAGGGAGGTGGTGGAGTGTCCCCCACTCCAGGAGGTGTCCAAGGAAGGCCTGACCGTGGCACTCCAGCACTGGACGTGCTCTGGGCTGGGGGACAAGGTGGGGATGGGGCACAGGGGGACTCCATGGGCTGGGAGAGCTTTTCCACATCAAGCATTCTGTGATTCTGAGATGGGGATGTGAGTGGGGGAGGTGTACCCAGGCACCAAGACTGTCCCAGCTCTGTAGGTGCAGCACTTGGAGTGGGATGTGCTCCAGTGCCACCTGTCCCCTCCTCTCTCCCCCCCTGCCCCAGCCTGTGTGTTCAGCAGGTCGATGGTGGCCTGGGAGCAGACTGTGCCAGCCTGGCTGCCCTCCCACATTTGCCCCCTTTGGCCAAGCCAGCTGTGCCCAGGGATGGGGAGTTGAGCTCAGAAGGCTCAGGGACGTTTCCTGCCCCAGGGACCCCACAAGAGACCCCCCTGAACCCCAGCACTGCCGTGTGGTTGGCTCATGTTCTTCTCACTTGACAGTACCTGTTGACAAGTGCATGTGTGAGTGATTCACCTCAGAGCGCTCTCCTCCCTCTCACCTGTCCCTGCACTGAAATGGGACGTTGTGCCCATGGAAGTGACAGATTCTGTGAGGAGCTGCTCTGGGGGTGATTCACAGAACAGCACAACAGGCACTCCTTGAGGCCCCCAGGGATGACTTCATCCCCTGCTGTTGTTTCAGCAGCAGAAAGAAGCTTTATTTAGGATGACCCTTCACATAGATGGATTTTTTTTTATCCTTTGCATCATACTTGTCCATCATCCTCCTGTTTTGGTTTTCAATTCAAAATGAGGTTATATTTCTAATGGGATGTCAATTAGTGACCTGCAGGTATGTGCTTTGCAGGGGTGATTTGTAGGGGTGTTTGTGGAAAAACTGAGCTTTTCATAGGCACTCACACAGCTCCTTTGGAGATCTGTAACCCAACACCAAACACTGCTCCTTAGTCAGCAGCTCTGCCTCAAGAACCGGCATCCAGAGACAAGGAGAGAAAGCAAATCCACCTGATTATTCCGCTCTCTCCTCCCGGAAGGATTTCGTAACAGATGAAACGCTGCCACACAGCACTGGCTGCTCCAGCCTGAGCACATCCCTGTGCAAGGAGAGAACGTGGAACCTGGGTCTGAGATCCAGCTGGGTGACACTGCCCAAAACACACAGCCCTGGGGGAAACTGTATCTCCAGATATGCAGAGACAGAGGCCAAGATACCCCAGGAAAGAAAAAATGTCCTAAATTTACCTTGAGAGGCTGAATCTCAAATAGTTCTCCCAAAGGATTTTTCATCTTTTCATAAATGCCATACTAATAATAGTTCAAGTATGAAATCTATTCAAACCTGAAGGTTTGGGGTATCTGTAATGAGCCATGATTACCAAAAGGACCCATACACAGCACTGAGCAGTGCTGGGTGTTTTCCCTTTAGTGAGGAAAAAATGTTTCTCCCTACAAGAAAGCATTGAGCAAAAATTCCTGAATGGGAACAGTTTAGGGACAGTAAGGGAAACAAGTTTGATTTTTAATAAGAAACTGAAAATTATTCCATTCTAATACCTGTGCTGACATTTATCTCGGTCTGACGATCAGTCATGGAACGAGTTACGTTTTCCCATCCAAGCTGCCCTGTCTTTGCGGGAATCTTTCGCACCTCGGGTGATCCCTGTGTTGTAACACACGTTTAAGGGACCTGCCCGGTTAAATCCCTTCTCATTCTGGCTGGAAATGTAACCCTTAATGAGGAGCTGCAGGTTCTGTGCAGCCTGACCGTGCTGCTGCCAGCAGATGGCACTGGGGGTGGGCTCTGTCGGGAGCTCTCCGAGCCGAAGCCTTCACATCAGTTTAAAGGCAGAACGGTGTTTACAAACAAGGATTTTGCATAACAAGGGCCCGCTTGCTTTGCCGGTTGGACTGTGCAGGAGCTGAGAGGCAGAGTTTCACCGAGCTGTCGTCATTCGAGGGGGAATGCTGTGTCTGCCCTGAGTTCCTCCTCATTTTTTGGAGGAAGATGAAGAGCAGGGTGTCTGAGTTAACAGCTTTGCCGGCCTTGAGTTCGCAAGGTGCTGTAACTGCCCTGGAGGGGAATCTGGTTGATGAATGATATCAGCAGCACCTTTCTGCTGCAGAGTAAAAACGAAAATTAAAAATTAAAAAAAAAAAAGGGGAAGAGGAAAGGGAAGGAGAAGGGAAAGGAGGAAGAGGGAGGGAAGGGGGGAAAAGGAAGGAAAATGAGGAAGAAAAGGGAGAAAAAAAAAGTCTCTTGTCAGGCTCCAGCTGTGGTTGCAGCAAGCAGAACATGGGCTTTGCTTGCTGCACTATCCAGGGTGAATATGATGGAAATACAGCCCTTTTTGTCAGGTGTTCTCTGAAATGGGAGTCAACACCAAGGCAGAGGCCTCGTGATTTCCCGAGCTCTGCTTTTGCTTTGCAGTGTTTCCATCAGGGAAATTCTCCCCACGGGCCCTTGCAGCAGGTATGGCACGTGTAGTGCCAGAAATTCAGGGAGTTTAGAGGGGGGAAAAACCAACAGACGACAAGAGAAGCCGAAAAGGAATGTGCTGAAACCTGCTCGCAGTTGTAGCTACAGCTTTTGTTCCCTGGGACTGAATTTGTTTCATTCTACATCAGAAATTCCTGGAGATCTATTTTAAATGTCACCTTGTAGTGAGCATCAAACACAGACATGGCACAACCACGACTTTTCGACAAC